GATAAAGTAAGTGTTTTATTTTGTTTTATTACTTATTATTACTGAATAAGTGTCAATTTTTATTATTTTATTTGTCATTCTAATTGCTTAATGAAGTACCCGTCCCCATATTTTTTAAAAATCCAGGGACTAATTTTATTAAAATTTATCGAGTATCTCTAAGTATCGCRATATTCTAAAGCCAAGTATCGAATATTTAATWTCGCGATACTCCAAAGCCAAGTATCTAGTACCTATCTTGTGTTAAACCTTCTTATAGCAAAAAAAACTACACACTCGTTAAATTTCATAAACTATTTATTTTAAGTTAATTCTACACAACGTAACAAATTATTTCTATATCGACTTTGGACTACTATCACTATTCACTACAAGCTCAGTCTGGCCTCAGGACAACCTACACGGGAACACCATCCGCTGCGGGTCTCCAACCAACTGACTACCCTGCCCATCCGGACATTAGTTCAGCCAATACCTTATCACTATCTGGGAGGGGGAAAGTGTTAACACTTGTATCGCGATACTCCAAAGGAAAGTACCTTGTATCTAGTATCTCGATACTCCTTTTTGAGTATCTCACCCAACCCTGGCGAAGTGGCGATACACATGACCATGTACAATGCACATTGCCGGTGCATKTAGGTATTTATATTACAATGTAAATGCGTATTATAGGTAAGGTATAACATACCCTATATTTATGCAGTAAATGAAACTAAATTTAACAATTTTTTTGATTTAAGTTAACTAACTTTTGTATAATGATAATACTAAATTTTTATTTTTTATTTTAACTCCCTTTATAATGTTAATATCAATGTTTTTTTTTTTTTAATTAAAACATTATATTTTTAACCATGTTAACACGTTACTACGTTATTAGTCGTCGCTATATTAAGTGCACATGCATATATTGACTTAATACATTATATAACCTACCTACTTATCTAACGAGTCGAGCTAATAATGGGAACAGAACTAGACTGTTTTATAAATTGAGTTATAGATACATTTTGGCATTTAGCAAAATTCCGCTTGTATAATCGATTAAATTGTTTAGACTTATTATAGAATCTAGGTATAGACACCACTAGTTTGTGCCATAGTTAGAAGAGTATAACACAACCACAAAAGATACACGAGTTATAATAGACATCTAATCCATTTCTTTTTTTGTTTTAACGATATTTAYGATTTCAACCAAAAATATACGTAAATATATGTTACATCTATTATAGGTACTTATAAGTTATAACATAAGTAATTAAAAATGAATCATTATTGTTAGGTATATACAAAATCGCTAAATTGCCTTATCCGATATTATTAATCATTATCATACAGGTCGTTACATCATTATTATGCAATATTGATTTCTGAGTTGGTTGGATTTGTTCTTTTTTTGTTGCCTTGGTCACCTTTTTTTGTAGTCTAGATATAAACGGTCTAGGCGTCAAGCCCATCGCAGCGGCCAAATAATAATCCGAATKTTCTCACGGATGCCAACCGGTCTAATCTTTTGAGCCCGWAGCCGTATGAAAATATAAAACAATATCATTACAAAGCTTGACGACTTGATGAGTGAAAGCCCAGTATAACGCTACTTGCCTACTTCAACTAATTATATTTGATACCTATAGTTACATAGGTAGGCCTCAGGAGAGCCAAATAATTGAAAATCGTAATTACAGTTGATTTAGTGATTTAACTCATTTGAGTGAACTAGCTGAGCTAGTGAGCTATATGCGAGTTGAATTATCGTGATAAATTAAAATGTCCACCTCCACGCCACTTATCACTTATCAGTAAAATAAGAACGAAAACGTGTTTTTGTTTGAAAACCGTTTTGGTTGTTATCATGTGTGTTGTTTTTTGATCACCAGTCGTTTCTAATAACAAAAATTTTACTAATTAGCTGCCTATGAAGGTGATCGCACTCCCGCGTTRCTATTTATTTGGTTAGGCCTACTACACGCCATAAATCATAATGCTATACGTACTGTTGCATTAGTCGCGACAGTATATTACGCCAATTAAGGCTATGGCTGTTATAAGCATAATTAATTCGTCACCTCAATATTAGAAAGTCACTATAGGAACTATGTACAGGGAAGTGGTCGTTGTTAATATTGTTACTATTGTTTTGCGTGAATCGCGGTGTTATTATAATTCATAGTACACAGATAGGCAGCTCGAGGCAGGTAGGTCCTATTGCTTACTAAAGAGAATGTACTCAGTTGTAACCAGTKTTGTTTGGCTTGTAGTGAATAGGACGTTTATACGTCATGTATAATCAATGCTAATACCTAATCTAAAATTCGTCATAATAATATTATAGGTGTGCATAACATTATTATTTATTGTGTGTGACCTGTGTGCGACTTTGAAAAGTTAGATAACGTCCACATCGATTTTTTTTTTTCGTTTTATAATTTATTAATGATTAGCTTCCACTATTTCTACTTCTACTGTCGTTGTTGCTACAGTTAATTCGATAACACGTTCTCACAAGTAACTCAACAACTACATCGTATCAAGGACCAACGGCCGAAAAATGGTAAATTCAAAATAGATACCTACCTACCTAAATGACGACCTACAGCTGGACAACATTGTAAAACATACCCATGAGCTATACCACTATTGTCCGTTGTCATTAGTTTATTCTGCGTAGCTACCTATYATAACAATAGTTTTATTTAATCTCAAATATTATATCCAATTTTCATTTACAGACAATCACAAAATTGACGTTAAAATTGAGTATTTATATCTTGGCATTAGTCGGATTCTTCACCCTGCTGCCTTTAAATAACAACGTCACTTTCACCAAATACAGGTAAGCTGTAAAGGGCTCCATATGTGATCAATTTTGTTGTGTCAATAATTAATCATCAATAAATACCTATCAAAATGATTTTGATATTTTCAATAAACTTTTTGAATGCATATTTAATACCACCAATACATAGTCAACATAATATATTGTTAGTAGGCATATTAGGCTTTTAATCCTTAATATATCAATATAATAATATTAACATATAATACTATTTTATTGTTAATATTATTATTGAAATTGTTTACAGTGTCACACCACAAAGACCTTTGATAGGGCCGTTAGCTTTAAATGAAAAGCTATCAGGAGTATCAAAACTTTTTGAAGGTCAAATTGTTGGACCGGAAGGTCTGTTGTATCATAATAATACTTTATATACAACATTGCATTATGGTCATGTAGTTAAAATTGTTGATAATGAAATAGTTCCTGTTGTGAAATTTGGAAAAGTCTGTGGTAAGTAAATTCTTTTTATAAATACCTGATAATATTACTCAATAAATATGTAATTTGTACAATTTTAACTAAATTTGTGTACCTAACATTGTATTAAAATGTTCTAGATAATGTATGTACTTAATCAATGTATATTAAATTATTTCATTCTGTTATTGAATTTGATTGATTTGTGTTAGATGGATTATACGAAGAACATATCTGTGGACGTCCACTTGGCTTAAATGTGGATAAAAAAGGATTTTTATATGTAGCTGATGCATATTATGGTATTTTTAAAGTGAATTTAAATCCAGATCAGTATGGTATGTTTAAAATAACTTTTTTTTTTACTGTTAACCACTGGTTACATGCTTTTTGCACAATGATGATTGTTTTTATTTTTATATAATAGGCAAAAAAGAGCAGTTAGTTTCATTGGATGAAGTTATTGATGGTATACGTCCTAAATTACCAAATTCAGTAGTAATAGCTTCTGATGATACTATGTATTGGACAGACTCTGATACAAACTATAAATTACATGATGGAATTTATACATTATTTGTTGATGGAACTGGAAGGTTAATAAATATGTTTTTCCTGTATTTTAACAAAAAACATGGCATAATTTTTCTAACCAAAGATATGTTATGTTTTAATTGAATTATTGAAAAATTTGAAAAAATATTACGACAATAAACTTAAAATGAATAGGTTGTAAAATTCTTTAACTGTCTTAAATAATAGATATTTCAACAATTTTTGTCATAACTAAAGTAGCTGGTTAACTATAAAATGACCCGATGTAAAAAATTCTCTAGATATACCTACACAAAGCAACATTTAACATTTATAATTATTAATGCTTTTAATTAATAAAATCATTTATTACTCTAGTAATTAGCTGATATTAAAAAAATAAAAAATGTATAAAATTAAACTTGCTATATCTACAATTATGCCAATAAACTATTTAGATATAACAATAAATTACAGTTTTTTTTTTTTTTAGACTATTGAAATATGATCCAAAAACCAAAAGAAATACAGTGTTAATCAAAAATCTTCAATTTGCTAATGGCGTGGAATTATCAGATGATGAATCATTCGTTTTGGTGGCCGAAACTGAAAAATATCGTATACATAAGTATGTGAGCAATATTTTGTTACTCATGGMAATGTTATAGATACATAAAGAGGGTCCCACAAGAATTTACCCATTGCRATATCAAAATTCTGGTTTTGTTTTAAGACTCACTGGGATAAGAACAAAATTATTTCATTTTTTTGATTTATTTTAATGTTTTGTTAAAAAACTTAAAAATATATTTTTTTATTTAATTATTTCAAAAAAATTCACAATAGCCATTTTGTAGAGTTTATTTTTCTGAAAATATTGACATTTCAAAATGTTATTTTCATYAATTTCCCGATATTTAATATTTTTTCTAGTTATGAAGAAATAAAATATGATTATAACTAGGCACACGGAAAGCATTCAGCTGGCTGCACGTGTGCTGCGCTTTGTTTCACATGTTTGTTAACTCTATGGTGTTTAAACAATTTGCAATTTTTCTCGAAACTAAAAAAAAAATGTATTATCAGGAAATTAACGAAAATCAAATTTTGAAACGTCAATATTTTCAGAAAAATAAACTTTACAAATGGCTGTAGTGAATTTTTTTGGAAATTACTGAATGAAAAAATAATTTTTTAAACTTTTTTTACTAAAACATTAAAATATTAAATAATTGTTGTTTTTATCCACGTTAGTCTTATTACAAAACCAGAATTTTGATATTTCCATTATATCTAGAGATATTGTAATGGGTAAATTCTTGAGGGATACTCTAAATAGTATATATATATTAAAAATAAAATCATCTGTTTTATTTGTTAGGTATTATTTGAAAGGACCCAAAGCTGGAAAAAGTGAAATATTTATTGATGGTTTACCTGGAATGCCAGATAATATTAAAAAGAATGGTAAAGGGTCGTTTTATATTCCATTAGTCTTTCCAAGAATTCCAATATTTGATAATATCGGTGAATATCCAACTATTAGAATGATGATTACCAAATCATTAGGATTAATTGAATTTACATTACAAAAGATCAATTCATTATATACCAATTTATATTGCAAAAAAGCTGTTCATTGGGTAAATATATAATTTATACTTATCTATATTGTACTTTTTAAAATCTTTTATGTTTTATCAAATATCATGATACAATATAAAAAATTTAATTTTTCATAGTACATTCAGTATGGCTTTTTCACATTTATATACATAACAGTTAAGTTATATTCTAGATATATTTTGTAAATTAAAATGTATTGTATGATTTCCCAATCATATTTTATGATACTTTTAAATTTTATCATTTATAATTTAAACTTATTATATAATAAAGTATCATTTAATTCAATTCAGTAATTCTTTATATATATTAAAAATTAAAATGTTAGTTAATAAAGTAAACCMTATTAATAAAAATTGTTTTAAATTATACRTAAATATATATATAWAAAAATAGTGTTTTAAATTCAATGTAGATAGCCTTTTATAATGATACTTATTGTTTTAAAAAATGCCTATTAAATGCACAATAATATAGTTTAAAAGCAAGTGTGAACATTTTTATTTCAGATTGGACATTTTGAATCTCTATCATTCATCAAATCAATTTCCAAACAACGGCTCACTATTTTAAAAATTAATGAAAAAGGCAAAATATTATCAAGTTACCATTCTACCGATGGAAAGGTTACTGGAATATGTGATGTTGAAGTGGTTGATGATAAATTATATCTGGGCTCACCATTCAACACCTTTTTGGGAATTATTAAATTGCCACAAGGATTTTTATAAGTTATAACTGTTTTTATTTTGCATAGTAAGACTCAATGACTTTTAAACTCAATTATTAAATTGAATTTGTGCAAATTTTATTTTATAAGCTCAGTTTGTACTGCCATAAAAATAATTATACACTGATTATTTATTCTTATCTACTGGAATTTTTTTATATCCATACCAGAAGCTTATCTTTATTTTGTAAATGTTACTATTTGTAAAATAGTAAAAAATAGAAAAAATTTGAATTTTCTATTTTACCTACATATAAATAATTTATTGTGATTTCAAATTCTGTTCAAATTAAACTGTTTTTTGTGCAAATTTTGTAATAAGAACTTCTATTATATGTTGTATGTTGTGTTAGAGTATTATGYAAAATTTACAATTGGTATTAATCTGATTTCATAAACAAATATTTTCTAGGCTCTGATGTTAATAGTTCTTAGTTATAAAAAATGGTAACTTTACTCACTTTTTTTTAATAGCTTAATATGTACTTTACATTTTATAAGAATTAAGAAACTCATAGAATAATATATTTTTTATTGTTCGTTTTGTAAAAATAAAGCAGTCATTTTTTTATGAATTTTTGTATATTGTTTCTTCTAGGTATTTTGTAATTTTAGTTATATTGTAACAAAAAAAATCTTATCCACCAATCAAATAATTTATGCATGTATGACAACATGTATATTGTATATGTATGTTATTGTGTTATTTCAATTTTTAACAACATTTGGTTAAACAACAAAATATAATGAATTGATACACTAATAAATATCAAATATGACTTAAGGAGTAGTCAATTAGTACAAACTAAATTAATATTCAATCATTTTTACTGAATATTATGTTATTTAAATATCAACAGATAGCAAATCAAATTTTCACTACTTTAAGACAAATTTCACAGTTCAAATGTATTACAGATCAATGATAATCTTTGTTAATTTAACATTAAAGRTAGCCTATTTTGATTATGAATTATAAATTATATTTAGTTATTGTCTTATTGATACCTGATCATCTGAAGGATAATGGATTTTAACTTATCTGTAGTCAAACAAATGAGTAATGCATGTGACTTAAATGATTTCAAGACAATATTATTAAAAAATCACTAGGTAGATACTGAACCTAAAAATAATACGAGGRCTCTGCACTTGTGTGAAATTATAATAATATCAGCAGTAGAAAGTATCTAAGTATTAAAAGAATTATAGGTATTACCCTTCTGGGCACCTGTCACTTTACATATTTTATTTCTCTATAGTTTAAAATAATATCCACAATAATTGTTTATGAGCRTCTCAACTCTGATTTAAATTTTTGACAAATTTAGTMAAAATTGTGAAAACTTRCAAATTATTTTCTAGTTAAATTCTGTTACATTTTTTCTTATGATAGGTTGCTATGATTTAAAAATTTGATTCAAGATTCCTAAGTAGTTAATTCTATGATGAAAAAAAAAATCTATCTATATAAATACAGCTTTTTTATAGTTTATTTAACTTCAAATTTGGATTTTGAAATAATAAAATAATAACAATATAATTAATACCTATAGTATAAAATATCCTAGACTGACAATCCGTCTCCGCCCATAATCGTTCTTCATACACAATTATATTATATCATTGAATTAAAATTTAATACCATCCATTACACTAACCTTTTTGCAACTTACTAATAGTAGGCTATTATACAGCAGTACGACATCCACATCACCGTTTTTTTCTATAAAGTCAATAAAATTTTGTTCGTGGGATAAAAAAGTTTGAAAATTATATACAAGGTTCCTCATAAATTTTTATACTAGCAGCTGTAAATCSTTGGCACGTTTTATTTTTTATAAGTATTTAAAGCTCAAATGTATGACTCATCATATCAGTCTTGGAAATTTTCAACATTTTTATAGTTGAAATTATAAAATGTTCAATTTTTATGGCTAAGAATCTTTAATTTTTTTTTATTGTTATTATAATATAAATTTACAATTTATATACAAATTTATATAATAAGTAAATGTGATGATAGTTACAAGAGGTGGAAGCTTGAGGGAAGGGAGTGTCCAGTGACACTTCTTCCAATACCTAAGAATCTAAAATTAAAAACAAGRATTCTCATAGTMATTACGCTATATTAAAACCAATAATAGGTACCTAACGATTTTAGAATTTTTTTTGTAACTTAAAAATACTATTTGTTGGAACTTGAGACTTTTAAAGTACTTTATTATAATAAATTATATTTTTTCGGCAAAAATTAATTTAACCTAAGTACTGTAGAACTTATTACTTAGGCAGTAAAATAAATTATTTCAATCACGATAAATGATAATATCATAAAATGATTATTGAATTCAAATTTAACACATCCATATGATCAATAAATCCATTACATAGACTCTCTAGACACCTAATGTACATAAAAGCAGGGTTATCCTCTCACCCATTTTTTTATATTTAATTTATTTTTAAAATTGTTTTAATTGTTTACTAAAAAAAAAAATTTCAAAAAAAATGAAAAGGAATCGTGACTAGCATTCGACCAACGGGACGCCAATGTCAAGGTTATTTAGTTCAAGTGGGCCGTCATGACCATTCATGTAAGTATTATCTATAACCAATGATAAATTATGATAAATACCTATGTATTATAATAGTGGATATAGGTATCTATAAAACTATACTTAATTCGTATGAGTAATTTAGCAACTGAAAAATCGTAGACACATTTTTGGAAAAATGTTAAGTCTGTATGATAWATTAGTAAAATACAAAATAGCTAATAATTCTTACTGGATGTAATAACTAGGTATTATTAAGAAAAATGTCTATACAAATGCTTAGTATCAATACGCATATAGGTAAGTACATAAATGGATAATATCTTGTCTTGTCATGTACTATTGAATYCAGTCGACATAGGAATGTCGAAGTTGATCGATTTAGCACTGCAGTTAGGTATCGTTCGATCAGGTACTAGGTACCAAGAAACGAGGATTATAGCTACTTTGTTATAGACAATTTTTTGTCACGTGTAAAAAATAAACGAGTTTCAAAGACAAAGTATATTTATTGATGTACACTTGTACAGACAGTGGTTCTTAAACAATGCGTAAAGTAGTTTAATTATTTATAATATTCGTATCTGTAGAATTCTGAATGGTTAATWATAGATAGTAAAGGACGGTGGGTATTGAAATACGAAATCTATTCACGTGTTTCCAGTGATCTATTTTAATATTTTGTGCCCAGGCAGYATATTTTTACCCCCTTCCCCCAATAATAGCTATTTTTTAAATATATGGTATATATAACTACTATTTTGTGGCATAAATGCAACTTAATTTCCAAGCAATTTAAAAAAAAATGTTCAGAAACCTTTGTAGGTATTTAAATGAATTCGGAACAATGGTGCAATAAGAATAGTGTCCAAATTCATTGAATTTGTTCCAATATTTCATATTTATTACAGTTATCTCTTAAGAGGACGTAATACTGTAATTTGTTTTCTCCGTCTTACAAGTGAATAACATAGCAAATCTACGCTCAGCAAATCATGTTTAGCTCCGTTAGTTAAAAAATTAGAATGAATTCACCTATTATGAAACTATTGATGTTAAAAACATTATCTGAGTTTTTATGTGGTCTTYTTACGATAGTTCAATGTTGCAAGTTATGCGWATATAAAAAATTAAAAAAGCTGTAACACGATTGCGCCTGTCCTACCTTTTTACATGCAAAAAACGCAACAAGATTGCGCCCAGCAAATCAGCACGATTACGCTTTTTACCTTTTTACCAACAAAAAACGCAACACGATTGTGCTTCGTGAAATAATATAAGGTAATACCTATACACTATTTAAAAAAAGAAATTATAGTCGGAATGGTAAACTCAAGATTAGAAGTGCTAGATAATCAATTATACTATACTATATTATAAACAATTACTAATATACCTGGTTATTACTTAACTTATTATTTAGCTATTTTAGTACCTACAGAAATGGGGAAAATACGTTTATAAAAAAATATATGACAAATATTTATAACGCCATATATTAATACAGTCAAAGTTGGTTAATTAGAACTTTTAACTTCAACTTCACAAATATCCTTCCTATCTTCTTATAATATATAAAATAAAAATATGACCCATATATAGCTTATTTAATTATTCTATACAATTGACAGTGCCTACCSAGTACCCGCAATATCCAGTCCTGAATATTTGAATCTATACAACCTTTACTGGTTTCCGAAAAAATTAAGTTGATGCATAATATATTCAAGTAAAAATCGTATAGGTTATTTGAATACGGTTAGGTTAAGAATAACTAAAATAGTAAAATCCTTATAACATTTACGTTCGTTTTATATATATTATACGGCTACAACACACATAATAATACAATACATAGGTACCAGCTACCTTTATACATTTTGGTGTGGAGGTTCTCGGGAAAGATATTACGCAGAAAGCAGAATGAAACTATTTTTACATATAAAATGGCTTATCTGTAATAGAATTTGTTTAGCATCTATATTGGAAAGTTTGGTATCCAAACTCCGACTTGTTTTAATCCATTTCTGATTGCATGGATAGGGGATGAAATAGGGATCGCATACGTCACGTAAGTACACCGTGCACCATATACCAGTATATATATATAATATATCTTACAGGATTGTCCTCCTCTATTTATTTAAAATTATATCTATRTTCGGGGCAAGACGCAAGTATARCGCTCCTGAAAGAAAATCAAACTTGCGTCCCCTCATCCGATTACGCTAAAATTAAACTGCTTTTTTTTGTAAATTATCATATTATTTAAATTGAGAATGTCACTCGATAAAATTGCACCCCTGGTCAAYGCCCTACTTCCAGTGCCAAGCTACTGCCCAGTGGCCAGTATACGTCCCATCAGATGTCCCAATCGACAAGGTCCAAAAATACGAATATATCTTATAAACCACCAACCACCTGCTATGTAWAACAAAAATCGACGAATTTTTTTGCTTAAAAATTGTGCAGTATAACTTAACGATGCTATTGTAACAGCCAACAGGGACCTATGTAATTTGGTCTTCGTTACATCGCAGAAGTTATCATTGGTCATCGATCACAGTGT